TTTGGACCTCTCTGCACCTCCATTTTCCTCCCTTCCCCTCTCCTCTCTGCCCCTCTCCTCCCCTCCCCTCCCCTCCCCTCCCCTCTCTGCTCACCCGTCCCCATCAGTTAGAGTTTTTGACAAGAAACACAAGGAATACCTAGCTTGGATTTTGAAGATAATTATACGAAGGGACTATTTATGTAGATTTAAAGGAGGTAACAAAGGATTTTGGGACACCCAAAGACTACCCACAGTGGACAAGGGGAAGAAAAAGTGTGTGAGAGCTCAATAAGAGCTGGAGTTGGGGGAGAAGAACTGGACATTTGAAGTTGTAATAATAGAGGATGTGGGCAAAAGGTTATCCAACCCCAGCCCCCTCAGCATGAGCATTTGAGCTATAGTTTCCAAACTCTGTTTCCTTGGCAACCTGAGAAGAGTTGGCATGCTCAATATGTTAGGACTTTGCTTATGCTAAAAATGATCCCTGGACTGGGAGACTTACAAAGACCTGATGGAGAAGCCATAGTTTGGGCATCTCTGAGTGCAGTGATTCTTGTGGCCGGGCGTGGTTCTTGCTGGGTCCTTGGACTCAGTGTGCCTATGGAGGCATTTCAAGAGATAATGGCTCCTGTGGGATATGAGGATTTTAAGACAGGCAGCTTATACCTCTTTTGCTCTTTATACCTATATTTTTTCAGCATGGACTGTAGCAAACACTTCCATTGAAAAGGGATGCTTGATACTGCCCTGCTGTGTTTCCTGTCTTCTGAGTAGAGTGGCTCCAAGGGTGAGCATGAATATGCAGCTGAATCTAAGAAAACTCTCCACATCTCAGGATATATCACTGCCCAAACTGAGATGCCAAAGCATGAGGAGAAGGAGAAAAATACCCCAAGCTCTCTCTTCTTCTGTCCTCTACTCTCCTAGAACTCCTCTCCTCACTTTGACTATCCTAACCCGAAGACCCAGCTCGAGGAGAAACACCTTGATTGTCCCAGCTTGTGGCAGCTGCTCACCATAGTTTATCATACTTCTTTTGAGGGACACCTGGGCTGTTTTCAGTTTTTAGCTGCCACGAACATTTGTGTACAAGGCTTTAGTCATATATTTTAATTTCTCCATGATAAATTCATAGGAGTTGAATTTTTGGGCCACAGAATTGACAAAAAGTTAAATGATTGACAAAAATTTAACTTTTAAAGAAATGGCCAGTTTTTCAAAGTGGCTGTGCATTGCAGACAGTGTAAGAGAGTCCTCCTTTTTTCCCACATTTCCAGCATTTGGTGTTCACAGAGTTTTTCAGCTGGGCCGTGGTAGTGGCTATGTAGTATTATCTCGTTGTGGTTTAATTGCATTTCCCCATGACTAATGATGTTGAGGAGGTTTTCATGTTCTTGTGTGTCATGCACAGAGCTTCTTTTATGAAGTATCTGTGCAAGTCTTTATAGAATTTGATTGTCATTTGATTAATTATTATTGTCTATTTTATTATTTTTATTATCGAGTTGCTGAAGTTCCTGATATATCCTGGATACAAGTCCTCTGTTGGATTTGTATGTTATGAACGTTTTCTCTTGGTCAGTGGTTTGTCCATTTTCTCAATGGTGGCTTTGGATAAAACAACATTTAAAAATACTGCTAAATGCAACTTATAATTTTTTTTCTCTGTGCCTTCTCTTTGCTTGCCCCAAGATTTAAAAAAAAATCATAGTTGTAGATTATTAAAATAATTCCATTTAAAACTGAAATCCACTGTGGAGGTTTTTCAGATTACCATGTGTCCTACTTCATAGCAGGTATATCTTCATAAAAGTTTGTAAAATGGGCCGGGTGCGGTGGCTCACGCTTGTAATCCCAGCACTTTGGGAGGCC